CCATTATAGCGCACAAGGTACTTACAGCGCCTTTATACTGGTCAAGCCCATTATATCTGCAGCAAAGGCTGCAAGATTTCCCTGAAAGAGGTTGTAGCTGAGATCTCTGAAACAAGTGAAGGAAAAAAAAAAGGTTTGGGAATCACGAATCGGGAAGAAAAGGGTTGTGTTGCAACAGCATCACATCAGCAGCATGATTCTCCCATATTTCTGGGCCTAAGCCACCTAGAGCTCCAGAAGAGGCTCTAGGACGGTAAAGCAGTCCCCTAGGTACAATTCTTGCCCTATCCCTCCTACAGGCGGGTTCTCTGCAGCTGCCGCCTCTCCTAACTTGATCATGAGTCCCACGGATTGGGCCCTCTGCAGTGCAACCGACCACCTCTGCCTGAACTGGTGCAGAAACTTAGCGGCATGATAGGATTTGGAGTCGGCGTTGAAGTATCGCCGAGCCGCCGTGTCTGCAAGGAGTTTCAGGAACACAGGGACCTCCGCACAAGGGCAGCCGTAGGTCTCTACGGCGAGGGGGAAGAAGCCCACTGTCTCTGGCAGGTTCTCATAGTGCTTGATCTTCTTATCCGCCTGCTCCCGGGCCGCCCATCCCCTGCCTTTCTTGGCCTCCGGGTCCCTGGTACTAATAGGGTCTGTAACTGTCACATCACACACCCAAACTGCCCCACTGCTTCTGTCTGTCATGGTGAAATCCGCTGTCTGCTCCTCTATGGGGCAGTAAACATTTGTTTCCCGGTGCACGATGAACCCCGCGTCTTGCGCCATGCTGATGCAAGCGTCGCGAAGCTCATTATGAGTATTCGTGCGGTGCTTCCCCGTGCCACAGCGGAAGAGGTGGTTGGGGAGGCGCGGGTCTGTGATAGCGGTGCGGTCTGCACAGTCACAATTCTTCGGGGTGGAGAAAGGGAGGCCTAACCGGAAGCGCACGGCGTTGCTGAAGTGTACCGGGCCGATGCGACGTGAGGAAGCTACCGGGACCGCCGTCAGCCAGTCCCCTGTGCCGTAGCCTGTGAGTGAGAACATTCTCTGTGTGTGCCCGGAGAGTGGATTCAGTCTCATTTGCCTCGTCTACTCCCCTGTACTTTCAGGCCCAGTGTGTGCTGGAGCTTGATGTCCGACCGAGAGAGCCGCTCCTGGTCAACTACGTCGCGTGCGTCTGAGGGTAGGGCTGTCTCGCACTCTGTGAGCCAGGAGTGAAGCGGTGTGGTGCTGTCTCGGGGCAGAATCATGTGGCTGTGTGCTCGGGTCAGTGCTGTGTCTGGCGCTAGCGTCAGGGAGGAAAAGAAGAGTGCGGCCTGTGTGAAGCTGGCTACGAATCCGTAGACCCCTTCTACGAGTGGGTCTGTCAGTCCTAAGCCGCCCAGGGATGAGGGAAGCGAAGCCTGCGCCCACACTCTCGACTGCTCCGTGCTACAGGTAGGGACTTTAATCCCGCAGGATGTCAGGAGCGCTGCTAGAAGGTCTCTCCCCCACTGCGCCCAGGTGTCTCGTGGCAGGAGATTCAGTGGCGTGGTCCTAGTGAGGTATGCTACGCGTCTAGAAATGCAGCGGGTCAGTAGCAGGGAGGCTACTTGGGGGTCGGCACGTTCTAACAGTGGCAGCGGCTTAGCCATTTCCTCCAGCTGCCCTGCCAGGAATTTTGCCGCACCCGCTGCTGGCCCCAGGAAGCTACCTAGAAGGCGTATCCCATCCTGTGATAACGGGACCCCTGGCGGCAGCTGAATAGGCTCGTCGCCTCCTGTGCTCCATGCCACACATTTCTGTGGATTATGTGTGAGACCCAGCTGCGCTAACTTGCTCGTGAATAAGTTGAATGCTGCTACAGTGTCTGAGTCATCCCCCAAAAATGTCACGTCGTCTGCATACGCCAAGCAGAGAACGTGGGGGTGTGCAGCTGCAGTTTCGCGAAGTGCTGGGTGGATCCCTGCTGCGAACAGTAGGGGGCCGAGTGGGTCCCCCTGTCTCACCCCGCGTTCACTGTTCAGCGGGTGGCTGGCGAAATTTGAGTCGAGGTACAGCTTCGAAGGGTTACCGTACGTTAGCCGAACTAGGGGGAGCAGTGACGAAAGGTTGCTGTCGCAAATCCCGTTGATGATTGCTTGTCGCGAAATGCTATTAAAGGCATTTGAAATGTCGGTCTGTAACACCACGCAGCGGTCCCTCGAGTCAACGAAGGCACGTGCGACATGGATGTTCGCTTCAGCTCCCCCAGGTACCGCCACCCCGTACTGTAGAGGCAGGAAATGGTCACGTGCAGCTTCCCCAATTGCAGTCAGAGCTGCCTTGGCCGCGAGGCGCGTCAGGCACTCGCCAATTGCAATTGGCCGAACCCCCCCACCTGGCTTGGACAGCGCGATTAGGCGCGACGCCGTCAGCAGGTCTGCAACTGGCTCGGGTAATTTGCCCGTCAGGATAGTGTTGACTAGGGCATGCAGGTGGGTGCAGACCGATGCGTTGGTTGCCGATGCGTCGCGAAGGTGTTCGAAAGCGG